ACCAGTGACAAAAGCTACCTCCTACCCAGAGACAAACAAGGGTAAGAAAAACTCCAGCTGACCCCAAGGGCGGCCAAATACTGAGCAGTAAACAGCACAGCGGAGGTAGATCCCAAGGTGACTTGTGGAAGGAGGCACCAAGCCCCAAGTGCAGTACTTACAGGGCACCTAGGGAAAGGAACCCTAGGCACATGCAGCCCAAGTACTGTGGAATGCGACTCCTGGCTCACACACCACCTGTAGAGACATCCCACATCACCAGGCACAGAAATTAAACAAAAGCTGGAGCCAGAGGCACGACCGCACCAGACTACCATCAACCAAGAACTGAAGGTTGGGTCACCGGCGGGTGGGTCTGGGGCTTACCCCTCCCCCTCCCGGGGAGGGGGGGTTGCGCAGACAGCGGAACAGCAACATCATGACGATATATTAGTTTGCTAATTCTCGTTTGCGGAGTTCTCTCCACTTGTTCGGCCTTTGGCCGCAATAATTTTACCAGAATAGGGGTTTGTTTTGGAACGCCTACCTCTCTGGGTGCCTGTCCCGGTTGATGGCAGACATAGAATGCTCCCAACCACAGGGGAGTCTCTATAGGCCATTGCTCCTCGTGCCTCTCTAGAGGGGGCCAAGTTCTGGCTAGTGGTCCCGGTAGGCAAGAACTCCATGCACATTGACTGATGCCAGAAAGTTATACATATCCATTCAGCCTGGATAGCTCCGGGGAGCTGACGGGGCTCCCCCCAGAAACAGTGAGTCACCCTGAGACAAGAGGACAGAGTAACCCTCAAACTCGCACAAGGCGAGAGGAGATCCAGAGGTCACATCCAACATACCCCTTGCACCCCCGCAGGGTTTCCTCAGGGCCCTTAGACTGGAATCTCAAATGGAAGCCCAGATAGGGTACTGCAAACCGGCACCTAAGTTTACCAACCAAGCTTCTAAAACCTTAACCCACAGGACATGTCCATTCACAGGGGCCTAGCATCAAGGCCCACCCCAAAAAAGAAAGAAAGAAAGAGTGAGTGAGTGAGTGAGTGAGTGAGTGAGTGAGTGAGTGAGTGAGTGAGTGAGTGAGTCAGAGAGAGAGAGAGAGAGAGAGAGAGAGAGAGAGAGAGAGAGAGAGAGAGAGAGAGAGAGAGAGAGAGAGAGAGAGAGAGAGAGAGAGAGAGAGAGAGAGTGAGAGAGAGAGAGAGAGAGAGTCAGAGAGAGAGAGAGAGAGAGAGAGAGAGAGAGAGAGAGAGAGAGAGAGAGAGAGAGAGAGATATATATATATATATATATATATATATATATATATATATATATATATATATATATATATATATATATATATATATATATAAATAAATAAATAAAGGAGATACAGGGGCAACCAACCGAAGGCAGACCCCACCAGTCAGAAAACAAAAAAGAAAAGCCGTGCAAGAGAATAACATAGCCAGGCAGAAGAGAGCCGGCCTCTATAATAGGTGATAACAGGTGTGCAGTACCCCGCACCCCTACCAGTGCCAACTACCCCAAGGTAAACAAGGTAGGAGGAAACCCCCCAGCACACTTAGGGTTATCTTGAGATAATTTCGGGGCTTTTTAGTGTCCCCGCGGCCCGGTCCTCGACCAGGCCTCCACCCCCAGGAAGCAGCCCGTGACAGCTGACTAACACCCAGGTACCTATTTTACTGCTAGGTAACAGGGGCATAGGGTGAAAGAAACTCTGCCTATTGTTTCTCGCCGGCACCTGGGATTATCAATTGGTCAATTACTAAGCAGCAAAAGACCAAGCAAAGGTAGACCCCAAGGTGACTTGTGGAAGATGGGCCCAAGCCCCATGGGCAGTACTTACAGGGCACTTAGGAAGGCAACCCTAAGTTCATGTAGTCCGAGTACCAGTGAAGATTACTCCAAGCTCACGCACCACCCTGAAGACAGCACTAAACACAAGGCACACTACTTAACACAAGAATCAGGAGCTGGAGTCACACGACCAACGCCTAGACACATCAGCCGAGAACTGAAGGTGTGGGTAGTTGGCGTGAGTGGTTTGGGGCTCCCCCTGGGGCTCCCCCTTTCCCCCCTACACAGACGGCGGGGTGGCACGTGGCAATATCATGCTCGTTTGTTCGTTTTTTCTTTGGGGGAGTTCTGTCCACTCGTTTGACTTCCAGTAGTAGTTTCAACCAGAATAGTGTTTGTTTTGGAATGCTTATCTTTCTGGGTGCCTGACCCAGTGGATGGCAGACACAGAATGCTCCAAATCACATGTGCATTTCTATAGGTCATTGTTCCTCGTGCCTCTCTGAGGCGGGGGGGGGGGGGGGGGGGGGCAGGTTCTGGCTTGTGGTCCCTGATAGGCCTAAGAACTCCATTCACACTGACTGATGCCAAAGTTTTATATATCCATATCAGCCTAGATCGCTCCCAGGAGCCAAAGGGGCTCCCTCCAGAAAAGATACAGGTACCCCAACCGCGACCAGTTGAGCTGAAAAGCATCCACCTAGAGAGCCTCGCAGTGAGGGAACAGCATCACAAGACACCGAGACCTAACCAAATGCGAAGAGGTACACCTCCGGGCACCAGCACATCTGGCAAAGCCAAAGGAAGGAAATGGCATCGACTGTTCCCTCCGTGGAAAGAGGAATGAAGCGAGACAGACCTTCCTCCAGGATGGTGGACACACTCTGAACGTGAACAGCACAGAGAGCTAATCCCCAAGAACTCAGCAGAAGAGCTACCTGAAGCGACAAGCTCAAAAGGACACAGACCAAAGAGACTCACCCAAGTTCAGAAGATGAATCACGGAGGAACAGTTTGAATGGAGCTGGATCACTGAGCCCCAAGGAATCCAAATCCTCTGCAGTGCCTGCCACACCACCGCAAATTCACTCACCGTGCTGTGAGCCCTGACTCATGGACAGCTGCCAATGCCTCTGCCTGACTGGTGAGCTCTGGCCACAAAGCCCCAACCGACAGACAAGGCATCCGTGTAGACATCGAGCAAGGTAGGAGGAAGGCACCAAGGCACCGAACTCCAAAAACCATGAAGAGGAAGCCAGTGACGCAGCATCGGTGCAAGGATACCAAGGGGGCAAACCCAATGATCGTGAAAGTGGCTGTCCCGAGGATAATGGAACAACCTCCCGAGTCAAACCCTGCCCAGCAGGCAAACCAGAAAGGAAAAGTTCCAAGGAAAAGTTCCGACTCCCGCACAGCTGCTCGAGGAACCGCTGAGTGAACTGGTTCCCCCCCAACAGCAGCCGATGGTAGGACTGCAGCTGGAGCAAGGCTTTGAGAGGCAGAGAAAGGGACACAGTCCGAGAATCTCAAACAAGGCCCAGCAAGGTCTGAACCTGAGATAGAACCAACTGGAGTTTCCTCCAGCTCACCAGGAACCCTAACCTGGCAAGTTGGGAAATATCCAGACAGGCGGACCAACTGGGAGCCTAAACCAACCAGTCGTCAAGGTAGGCCAAGACCCGAAGACCTAGCAGACAAAGATGGGCCACCACGACCTGAATTAAGCGCATTAAAATGCAAGGTGCCAAATTGAGCCCAAAAGGAAGACAACGAAATTGGTAAGACTGTCGCTCCACCACAGAACCCAACCGATCCCTGAACCCAGGATGAATTGGGCTGTACCAATACACGTCTTTGAGGGCTATGGAAATCGTCCAAGTGCCCGGCTCGAGAACAAGTCAGACCAGGGACAACATAGTCATCTGAAAGGAGGGGCAAGAAATTAACCGGTTCAGACGAGACAAGTCCAAAAAGTAAGAGAAATTCGCACAGTCCCTTTGGAACTACACACCGGAAAAAAAAACACCAAAGAGACAAAGTCGTGTCAATCCTGCCTATGCAAACCCACCCCGAAACGACTTGACGGATGGAAGGAGAAAAGGCCTGTCTCAAAAGAATGGACCTCAAATGGAAGGAAGGGCCGCCCAACACCACCAGAGGCCTCAAGAGACAACGCATGCCCATAACCAAGAAACGCCCACGAATTGTGGGACCAGGCGTGAGTAAAAAGAAAATGCCCCCCCCCCAAAATGAACCCCAAGAGCTTGACTTCAGTGCAGAGAGAACACCGCGCTGACCAGACGAAGATGACGGCACTGAGGTCACCTTCGACCTGGCTACTGTCACTACAGGCCTACCTCGACTCAAAGTAGCTCAAGCCCTGGCCCGACCCTTCCACAAAGGACGGGACCAACCCCTCGGACACGTAAGTCCGAAATTGGATGGCAACTAGCCGGAGCATTCAACAAAAACAAAGCCACACTGTCCTCTGTAAACACAGGGGACAATATGAAGAAGCTAAAAGAGTCAGGGCCCATGCCGAATCCAAAGAGAGCCAGCACAAGCTATCAAACCCAGGAGGTGAAAAACATGAAACAGCCTCCAGGAGGAGCTGCGAACAGCTTCAGCAGGACAGACAACACAGAGGCAGCCGAGACAAAGACCCTGGCATAGGGCCCCCACCAAGCAACCCCACATCTTCTGAAAGCCAATCCGAAGACAGTTCCAGAATAACAAAGAAATGCACAGCAGCAGCCAAGTGACCACGAGTTCTCGAAGGTCATCAGCCACCAAGGCAGTCGAAAGAAAGGTAACCTGAGCATGCAACTGCACCAGACCCACATCATAGGGAAAAGCAGAAGTGAAAAGCACTCTTTGAGGGATTCCAGAGAGCTCCCCAAAAACTCCTGTAACACTTCCAGCCACTCAGGCATGTGGGTACAACAAAAGATGTGCCAAGCCTCAAACTAAACAGCGCACAGTCTGCCAGCCAGGAAGAATAAATAATAGTGTTATTTATATAATTTATCCCAAAGTTATTGATTTTCTGTGATTTTTAATTTTTGGAAATGCATCCCCCACTTAAAAATTGCGCTTATGAGAAAGCTGGTTACGAATCCCACACAACTAACTTAATACTGTAATACCTTTTTGGAATGAATACCATTTTAAAATTGTAACTGGCTGTAAATAAATCAAATAGTACATACCCTGTGCTGCATCTGTACTCTCCCTCTTCCTCCTGGACAACAAAGACCTCTGCAACACACAAATATATACATAAAGTGTACTGTATAAAAAAAAGTCATGAATAGAAACATAAAAATCTTACTTTCTTTAAGAGACATACAGTTAAAAGAATACATCATTACCAACTAACGAAGCTTGGGGAACAATGCAAGCGGTCATTCCCACAATGTAAACATACCAACCTCATTTTGCCTAATTGCCACTAGGTGGTAGCCCAGGTCATACGAGCCTCCAGTTAGCCAACCCTCTTCACCCACTAGCCACACAAAACAAACCATCGCATCACAGAGAAGAGGAGAATGGAGTGGGGACGAGAAGCTACCGAGAGTCCCACTAGAAACGGGTATTTATTGGATTACATTCAACACCTGATTTGTGAGAGGTCCCCCATCAGTAACTTCCCTGTGCTATTCACAATAGCACCTCTGTAGAGTAGGCCCATAGTTGTGAAGAAGAAAAGTGGCCAGGGCTGACCCATGGGAGAAGACAGCAAAAAGAGTGCCTGGAAATAATGGCACACCAAGGAGGGCCACCAGAGATGCACAATGAGGGACCAAGGCCAGACTTAATGATGACCAAAGCAACAGGAAACCAACAAGTAGGAAAAACCTGGAATGAGAACTTGAAGCCTAATATGCACAGCTGCAGGTATCAGGGAAAACCACGGCAACTGGAAAAATACTAAAAATGTATCCTAGAACATTCACCCAGGAACAACCGGGCACACAGCCCAGTAAACAACCGGCCATGCAGCCCAGAATCCATCTGGCACCTAGCCTGGGACTCGCAAGGCACACAGCCTACAAACAGCCAGGCCTGCACCCTGCAAGCAGCCTGCAAACAGCTGAATGTACAGCCTAGCACACAGCCAAAGCAGAGCCGAGTGCTAAGCAGAGCTAGACACAAAGGAACAGCTGGGTCCACCGGGTGGAAACATCTGGGTGCATCAATAGCAAACAACCTGCCCAACAGCCCACAAACATCCATTACACCATCTGGTCCCAAAATCATTTAAAAGCACAGTTAAAAACCACAAAGGGGCAAAGCAGTATCCGGTGATGCTTGCACTAAAGGCAACACACACAGTTGCAGGCAAAGGAACTGAAAGGAAAATGAAGATCAGATGTAGCCAAGTTGAGTGGACTAGGAAGCCACCCCAGAAAAATCCAGCGTTGAATGTAATGAAACGCCATTTTCTGGGCGAGACCCGGAGGCTCCCCGGAGCTATCCAGGTTGATATGGATATACAGGGGTACCTCGGTTTAAGAATTTAATCCATTCCTGGAGACAATTCGTAACCCAAAAATTCATAAACCAAAGTGAATTTCCCCATAAGAAATAATGGGAAATGAATTAATCTGTTCCTGACTCCCACTTCAAAGCAAATTTTATACCTAATTCACCCAAATCTTCACTACAAACGTATGTTCAAGTTATTACTTACCCTTGCTGATGACTCCTGTTGGCGTATGGAAGATGGTGAGGAGGGGGGAGGAGGAGAGGTGTTACTGTTTGGAAGGGGAGTCCCCTTCCATTATGACATCAGGCAGTGAAGATTTCTCTGGAGTGCACTCTCTGGCATGTTTTTCCTGCATACCACTAGGACCTGGTTGTGGCTCACTGCTTGATTTTATCACAAGGAAACGTTCCATTGAAGATTGTTTTTCCCTTCTTTGCAACACTTGTCTGTAGTGAGGCATCACATTGTCATTGAAAAGATTAATGCAACAGCCTACTACAGCTTTCTCCGAGTGAGTCACTTCAATAAAAGTTTGCATTTCTTCCCACATCTGACACCACTTCCTAACGGTTGAGGAAGGGACATTCTCTACTGCCTCATCCTCCTCTGAAGAAATATCCTCAGCTGCCTCTTGTTGCTGCTCCTTTTGAAGGCCTTGGAGTTCTTTGGTGGTTAGTTCTTCATTGTGCTCTTCCACCAACTCCTCCACATCAGCACCATCCAATTCCAAGCCCATTTGCCGGCCCAGAGTAACAATTTCCTCAACAATAGACACTTCATTTACAGGCTCAAACCCCTCAAAGTCTAGTTTTGATATACTTTCAGGCCACAATTTTCTCCAGCCAGAGATCAGGGTTCTTTTAGTCACTTCTTGCCAGGCTTTGTCAACAATTTTTAAAGCACCACAAATGTTAAAATGGTTTTTACAGAACTCTTTGAGGGTGAGGTTTGCAAAATCAGTCACTTTGAAACATTTCCGGAAAAGTGCCCTTTCATAAAGTTTCTTAAAACTGGATATGATTTTCTGACCCATAGGCTGAATTAGAGGAGTGGTGTTAGGAGGAAGGAACTTTATTGTGAAAAAATTAAATCTGTTCAACAATGCATCTTCCAAGCCTGGAGGATGAGCAGGAGCATTGTCGAGGAGAAGCAGGGCCTTGAGTGGCAAACTTTTCTCCTGCAGATATTTTTGTATGACACGGCACACCACTTCATTCACCCACTGCATAAAAAAAATCCTAGTCACCCATGCCTTATTATTAGCCCTCCACATCACACACATTTGGTTTTTCTGCACTTTATACTGTTTGAAAACCCTTGGACTTTCAGAATGATATAATAGCAAGGGTTTAATTTTCACATCCCCACTCACATTTCCAAACAGCACAAGCATAAACCTATCTTTCACAGTCTTGTGTCCGGGGCAATGATTTCTCCACCTGGGTAATGTATGGGAGCAGGTCGGCCGAGCGGACAGCACACTGGACTTGTAATCCTGTGGTCCCGGGTTCAATCCCGGGCGCTGGTGAGAAACAATGGGCAGAGTTTCTTTCGCCCTATGCCCCTGTTACCTAGCAGTAAAATAGGTACATGGGTGTTCGTCAGCTGTCATGGGCTGCTTCCTGGGGGTGGAGGCCTGGTCGAGGACCGGGCCACGGGGACACTAAAGCCCCGAAATCATCTCAAGATAACCTCAAGATGTCCTCTTAGACAATCTTTTCCAGAACAGTCCTGTCTCGTCACAATTAAACACTTGTTGCGGTAGGATTCTCTCAGCCTCTAAAAAATCTTTGAATTCTTCAATAAATCATTCAGCCGCTGGTTTCTCTGAGCTGGCAGCCTCCCCAGTCTCTGAAACACTATCACCCACTAACTCCTTGTTGTGTATCCAAATTAATAACAACTTTTCCACATCCTCAAGTATTTGTGTTCCTTGCTTCGTGATTGTTGATACACCCTTTGCCACTTTAGCACTCATAATGTTCTTTTTCTTGGCAAGTACAGTGCATATCGTTGACATGGATTTCTTGTACTGCCTAGCTAGTGCAACAACACGAGTACCATTTTCATGCTTACGAATGATCTCTTGTTTTTCCTCTATGGTCATTCTCACATGTGATTTCTTGCCTTGAACCTTACCACTGGCTTTCTTGGAACCCATGGCAAGATTTATAATAACAAATTTTATGCTCGAATAACAAAAAATCCCAAAAGAAACAGTAAATCCTTGCGAAGAATTCAGGCGGGATAGTTACTGGGTGCGAGGCACTGGTAAACTGAGGCGCGATTGCCGTGCCACCACGCAGTAGGTCAGCCATACGCATATCAACAAACTCGTATCCCGAGGTAAAGTTCGTATCCAGATTCAAATTTTCCGAACAAATCAGGCTCGTAACCCGAAAAATTCGTAAACAGGGGCGTTCGTAAACCGAGGTACCACTGTATTACATTTCTGGCATCAGTTAATGTGCATGGAGTTTTAGGCCTACCAGGGACCACGAGCCAGAACCAGGCCCCCTCAGAGGCATGAGGAGCAATGTCCTATAGAAACCCCAGTGTGCCCATGTGGTTGGAAGCATTCTATGTCTGCCATCAACCAGATCTGGCACCCAGAAAGGTAAGTGCCCTAAAACAAACCCCTATACTGGTGAAAACATTGCTACAAAGAGCCGAACAAGTGGACAGAACTCCCCAAAGAAAAACAAGCAAACTAGCATGATGTCACCACTTTGTCGCTCCGCTGTCTGCGCTCCCCCTCTCCCCGGGAGGAAAAAGGAGGAGCCCCAGACCTTCACGCCGGCTACCCACCCTTCAGTTTTTAAGGATAGATGCGAAAAACCGCCAACCAGAGGGAGGGATGGTTGACGGGGATCCTTCGGGTATCACCCAGAAAATGGCGTTTCATTACATTCAACGCTGATTTTCTGGGGGGGGGGGGGAGCGCTGTCTGCTCCCCGGACCTAACTACCCAACGGAGACCCCCATGCTGGCGATCCACACCCCAGTTCTGAGGCTGGATGTCAAGAAAATGCAAAAACCGCCAACCGGAGGGAGGGAGAGATGCCGGGGAGCCTCCGGATCACACCCAGAAAATGGCGTTTCATTACATTCAGCGCTGATTTTCAGGGGGAAGCCCCGTCGGCTCCCTGGAGCTAACTACCAACAGAGGAAAGTAGAGGGATTCATCCTGGAGGCGGTCGCTGCTCGCTCCCCAACTGAAAACCAAAACAATTGGTTTTTGACAATTTACAATTATTACTGAATCTATGAACGGTATAGGTTAAGTAAGAATTGTAATTAAGAAGCAATAAGATGCTTATCTTAACATACTAAGAAGTTTAGGTGAGGTCGGTGTTTTCTATGAAGCTTTTCAAGGTAAACTAAAATATTTACAATCAATTAGTATGTCACATATGCACTTATTAAATAAACCAATATTGACTATAAGCAAGTGCGAGAACAGGTTGGAGGTGCAAATTAGTTTGTGCAGGAGGCACGCACTAAGGGCCTCCCAGGCCTTTGCCGGAGGAGCCCAAAAGGAAGGAAACCTCCAGAAGGATGAATCTGAAGAATTCAAATGTACACGGAAATGAACCCTGGGGAAAGTCGCACCTAACTCAAACTCGTATACAGAATTGATAAGAAAACCCCACACCCTACAACAAAAAGCCCTCTGCAGAAGGCAGGAGGGTCCACAAAAGTATCAAATGGGACCCAAGGGCCCCAGTCCAACTCCTCCCAGAGCCCTGAGAACTGCAGAAAAGGGCCCCGAGACAAAGCTTTCGTCCACACCCACAACCCAGGAAAGAAAAGCAGAGTCCAAGAGAAAGGCCTCGAAGGAAGGGGTCAGCTGGAAAGACCCAGAAGCCTTGGCAGAAGCAAGAGCCTCAACTGCCTCCGCATCCATGTCGGAAGGGACAAACCTCTGATCTGCCCGAGCCACATCCAAAGTTAAACCTTTCCCAGATTCCGAAACCCTCAGATGCTTCGGAGCCAGAAGAAGGAGAGGAAGAGAAGAGGCAAGACCGGCCCCTCAGGGAAGGAAGGCAGAGAAGGCGGTCAATTCAACCACGGTCAAATTAACCAACACCTTCAAATCCGAGTCCCTAAACATTAATTGGGGCAAATCCGGGGCATCAACCAAGCACACACCCAAGAACGTTGCAAAACAGAAAACCTTAACCGCAAAGTGGTTGTCACCCAAAATCTTTGAACTTCATGAGGGGAATGGGTAAGATGCACAATGTTTTCCCCACCTGGGGAAAACAAGTTGCACATGACTGTAGGTCCATGGTGGTAACCCATGGTTGCTATGGGTTACCGATCCAAGAGGCAGCATAGTGGAAACAAAACGTATGAACATTGCGAGGTGGCACAGGCGATGAACAACCCTGAAATTCACACAAGGAGATAGCGAGTTTTGAAGATGTATCCATAATACAACCAGCCCTGTGGGGGGGGGGGGGGGGGGGTTCCAGAGCCTGCAAGAAACCGAGGCACTGGGAGCCATCGAACAATCAAATGAACAAGCAACCCTAGCCACCCAAAACCAACGGAAAAGTCAAGGATGGAACAAGTGGGGTTAACTGCAGAAAAGCCGTAGGAAACTTAATAAGACTTAATGGAAAAGCCCCCAAGCACAAGGGCAAACAACTAAAACTCCCAAAAAAACCAGCGTTGAATGTAATGAAACGCCATTTTCTGGGTGAGACCCGGAGGCTCCCTGGAGCTATATTAGGCTGATATGCTAATGTCAGACTTTGGCATCAGTCATGTGTATGGAGTTCTTAGGGCCTACCGGGGACCACGGCCAGAACCTGGCCCCCTCAGAGAAGCAAGGGGAGCAATGGCCTATAGAAACCCCCGTGTGATTGGAAGCATTCTATGTCTGCCATCGACCGGGTCAAACATCCAGAAAGGTAAGCATCCCAAAACAAACCCCTATTCTGGTAAAAATTGCTACCAAAATCCGAACTAGTGGATAGAACTCTCCAACAGAAAACAAGCAAACAAGTATGACATCACACGTCACCGTGCCTCTGTCTGCGCAGCTCCCCCCTCCCTGGGAGGGGGAAGGGGGAGTTCCAGACCTCTCACGCCAGCTATCCACCCAACAGTTCTTCGGCTGGATGTCAAAACACGCGAAAAAACACCGACCAGAGGGAGGGAGAGTTGCTGGAGAGCCTCCAGGTCTCGCCCAGAAAATGGCGTTTCACTACATTCAACGCTGGTTTTCTGGGGGGAGCTCCGTATGCTCCCTGGAGCTTACTACCCACAGAGGAAGGTCAAAGGGACCGATCCGGGAAGCGAACACCATGCACCCCTCAACGGAAAGCGAGACAACTGGCTGCAACTGCCAATCCAAGGCAATACAGGCCCGAAAGAGTCCAGAAACGACATGAGACAATGAGCAGCCAGGCCCCTCTATGACCGACAAAAAGCCCCGTGCCCGAAGTCAGCAAGGACACGCCACCAAGATGGCAGCAAGAGCAGTGAAATCACGAACACCACGGGCAAAGAACACAGGCTGGCCACCCGCAATAACACGACGGACGACCTGGGACACCTTCTCCCGCGAACAGGGAAGAACAGAACCGGATCAACCAAAAGCGCGCCCAGGACATAGAAGTTGCGGTGCGCAAATAACAGCAGAGTAAGTAACAACACACATAGCCGGCTCATTAAGGAAACCAATGAAATGAACAGAATCCAACCAGGCCACCAGTAGCCCAATTGGGCTACAAGCAGCCCAACCTGGCATCTTTGACCATGAGTATGGAAGGAAAACGAGCAGCGCCAAGACACAGCACGGAGAGAAGATACATGAACAAAAGAATGAGACAGGGCCAAAAACTCAAGAGGAAGCCCGGAAGAGGGCCAACAAGCCCTAGAAAGGACCAGAGGGAAGCCACACCGGCAGACGACAGGCGATCCACTAATACGGGAAGGAGCAAAAACCATCCCAAACCTTCGAGAACACAGAAGCAAGCACAAATGACGAAGGCACCAAAAAACCCAGTCACACCCGAGACTGGGGTTTTCCCCGTCATGTTCCCCAAGAAGAGGGGAACATGACGGGGAAGTCCCGTCCCAAGGTAACAGGGGTGATCAACAGAGAAGAACACCCACCGACAGGACGGAACCAATGGGCATAAGGGACAAGGAACCGAGCCCAGGGAAGGGCCGACGCCCAACAACTCGTGCTGAGAGTAGGGAAGGAAAAACCCCATTCCACGCAACCGCAAGCCCTGCCCAGAGGGTAAATAAAACCCCGGCGGGTTCCAATGGAGCCAGATGCCCCCAAGTCAGCCCTTCCCCAGCCCCGGAAACCCAAACGGCAGGCCCCGGGGCCGAGCCGTCCCCCCAAAGCCCCAGCCTCAAGAAACAACCCACCCCGACCCGGAACCTACAGACAGTAAAGACCTGAATGCAGGGAGGAAGGGGAAGGGGACCTGACAAGACTACCAACCAAAACAGGGCAGCCTCAGGGCTTCAGGGGAGCAAACAACTTAGCGCGTTGCCAATGAAACTTAATGTGCAACGTCCGTGCTGCCTGTACCCATTTAATCAGCAGAAGACTGGGTAACCGAGCCACAGCAAGCAACAAAACTCGCAGGACCCCAGGTCGAAGGCGTCACCGACCCCACAGGCAGCTGACGGAAGCAAAACAGCGAGTGTCACCCTGAGACAAGGGGGACAGAGCAACCCTCAAATTCGCACAAAGCAAGGAGGGGGGGGGGACTTCGGGGCCACATCCATCAGGCCATACTCCCCCCTAGGGGTTTCCCAGGGTCCTGAGTGTGTACTACAAGAGGACTCATGCTCAGGTAATCCCAGGCAGGGTACTGCTAACCAGCGCCCATGTCTACCAAACAACCTTCTAAGAACTGAACCCCCGGGATGTGTACACTCACGGGGACCTAGCAGGGGAAACCACCGGAAGGAGGAAGAGAATCCAGTACAAAAGGGTCAAGAACCAAAGGCAGACTCTCCCCCCCCCCCCACCAGGTAGACAAAAAGGAAAAAGAAAACCCCTGCAAGAGGACAGCGTGCCAGGCGGAACAGAGCCGGCCGCTATGATTGGTGAAAACAAGCTGCGCAGTACCCTGCACCCTTACTAGTGCAAACTGCCCCTTACCCTAAGGCGAACAAGGGAGACAGAACCCCCCATCACACAAAGGGCGGCCGAAAACCAAAAAATAGACGGCTTAGCAGAAGCAGGACCCAAGGAACTTGTGGAAGGTAACCCCAAGCCCCAAGGACAGTACTTACAGGGCACCTATGGAAGGTAACCCTAGGCGTATGCAGCCCGAGTACCGGAGACTCACTCCCATTTCACGTACCACCTAGAAGACAGACACCACACTCTAGGCACAGTGCTGAAACAACCACTGGAGCCGGAGCACACAACCGGTGCCTTTAGCATCAGCCGAAGAACTGTTGGGTGGATAGCTGGCGTGAGAGGTCTGGAACTCCCCCTTCCCCCTCCCAGGGAGGGGGGAGCTGCGCAGACAGAGGCACGGTGACGTGTGATGTCATACTTGTTTGCTTGTTTTCTGTTGGGGAGTTCTATCCACTAGTTCGGATTTTGGTAGCAATTTTTACCAGAATTGGGGTTTGTTTTGGGATGCTTACCTTTCTGGATGTTTGACCCGGTCGATGGCAGACATACAATGCTTCCTACCACACGGGGGTTTCTATAGGTCATTGCTCTCCTTGCCTCTCTGAGGGGGGCCAGGTTCTGGCTGTGGTCCCCGGTAGGCCCTAAGAACTGCATACACATGACTGATGCCAAAGTCTGACATTAGCGTAACAGCCTGGTATAGCTCCAGGGAGCCGACGGGGCTCCCCCCCAGAAAAGGGGACAAGAGAAAAAACCAGAACCCCCAAGGCCAAACCGCAGAATATGAGCAACAAGGGAGAATGTAGCACCATCCAGATAATAACTGGAGGCCTACCTCAGCGCACCGATTAAGTCATGTGAACCACAGTGTGCTCCACCAGCAAGACATTCTCAACCCAAGGAAAGATAGACAGTCCAAGACAACTGGCTTACCAGAGTCGAGAGTGATCCCAAGAAAGGAGACCCCTTAAAGAGTGTGTCTCCTGAATACCCGAGGAAAGAAAACCCTGACCGTGCAAGGGCAGCACTTAAGGAACGTACAGGGAAAAGAACCCTGAGCACATGCCGCTTCGTGCACTCCGGAACTCCTGGCTCATGCGTCACAACAACATATAAGAAGAGCCTCAAAGACAAAACACCACCTAATAAAACAAGAGACTGGCACAAGAGCGACTAGAGCAGTGACCAGGCACACAGCAAAATAATATTTGACGGTGCTGGGGCCGACTGACGTGGCCTGCCTACCTCCTTCCCCCCAAACGAAGATGGGAAGGTGGGCTGAACTACCTCACACTAGTTTCACAAAATTTTGGTTGTTTGTTTTTATATGGTGGGGGGGGGGGGTTCTTTTGGCAGTTTTGAGTCTGTCGTTTTGCTTTTAAATGTGCAATGCTTCGTTTTGATTCACTGACTTTCAGGGTGCTTCATGGTGCCCGTGCTCCCTGCACCTCTCTGAGGGGGACCAGGTTCTGGCTCGTGGTGCCTGGTAGGCCAATAACAACTCTGCAACTGATGGCACCAAGTAGTATCGCACTGAATCAGTGTAATAGCTTCTGGGAGCCTCAAGAGGGGGGCTTTCCCCAGATAAACAGTAATACAATATAATAATATAGTGTAACACCACATGCCTTTTGCACGTGTGAGAAGAGATTACTGTCAGTCAGCTTGGGCAGATGTCCCACTTTCTTCACTTCCCCAACCTTCTTGCCCTTCAACACATGCAGATACTTCATGTCTTCACTACACTTCAGGTAAACTCTGCAAACATCAAACCATATCAATAACATTTTCAGAACAAAATAAACAATGTTGTAATTTCTTTAGGTAAGCAAACGGTGAACTAAATGTGTTTTGGTAAAGAAAGGTTCGGTGTGATACAATACTGTATGAGCTCGGTTATCCGAGCCCGTTTAATCGAATATTCGGGTTATCCAGCCAAAATTGTGTCCTGATAACTTTCTAGCAAAACTTCTCCATATCCAGACAGAAATCTGAACAACAGGATTTGGCCGAATAATGCAGAATAGCATAGAGTCTAAATCAAGACAGGATCAGTTTCTGCTAAACTTCACCATATCTCGACAGCAATATGTAAAATTAGAGATTTTGCCTGATAACCGAGAAAGGGAAGGAGGCTACAGGGGGATGGGGAATAGTCGGGAGGGATCCCTGGGGAATGAGAGACATGTTGCAGAGCCTATGAATATTGTATCAAAAATTATATTAAAACAATTCATTACAGTAAAAATTAAATATTATATTTAATATTATTATAACATATACAAATATCTTAAAAAAACTGTGTGTATAGGCTAAAGACTGTAGTTCCCTATTAATTAAAATATGGGGGAATTCTTTTTCTGCCTGGTGGCCTACGTAATGTGCCTGCCTGTACCAAGTGGACCCATCCAGATTTGGTCAGGCTAAACAAGCCATGTGCCCTCGCCCCTCACATTGTGCCATAGTGCTGCGCCATTAGTGAAAATATTTCTTAAATAACTTTTTTATTTTCATAGTAACTGATACTTTGTTGCCAAGACTACAACTGGTAGCAGCAGCAGCAGCAGCAGCAATCATCCTGGAGCTGTAAACACGAAGGTTGTGTTAACAATTAGAGGTAAGTTACGTGTAATTGAACTCTCTGAAACTAGCCAGTTGCTTGTGAGTGTTGCAAAGGATTTTTGTATAATCGCTAGCACTGTCTTTGATACAAGGAAACACATAAATGAATACATGAAAGATGGGTCCACTTGGGGCAACCAGTGAGAGGGAGGGAGGGTGCAATAGAAAAACTTTGAAGCCTGCACACAATGTACAGTTGGATAAGGCTGTGTACAAGTGTTTTGCACAGCACCGCTCAGCAGGTGTGACAATTCGCAGTGCAGAAGTAAGAAATGCTGCAAGTAAGTTTGCAGCCAGCCTAGGAATACAGAATCTCATGGCAAGTGATGGTTGGATTTCAAGGATTGAAGTGAGACATAATATTGTGAAGAGGAAAATTGTTGGTGAAAAATTGAGTGCAAGTACAAGCAGTGTTGAACCATTTATACAAATTAAGAACACACATTTTTGTCTACTAATTTATGTCAATCAAATCTATAATGGTGACTTATCCCGATCAAGTTCAAATATTTTATTAATATAAACAGAGTTTGTCATCTATTTATTTATTTATTTTATTTATTTATATACAAGAAGGTACATTGGGTTTGTGAGGATACATAGCATTGTATTTTCAATCTTGTAAAGCCACTAGTACGTGCAGCGTTTCAGGCAGCATTTATTGCAGCGTTTATCACTCGTGATAAAACTCTACAGGATTATCCCGATCAAGTTCAAATATTTTATTAACACTTTCGCCCAGGGGTGGCGCCGGACAGCGTCACCAAGTTTTCTCTTGTTTCCGCATGGGTGACACCGGCTGGAGTCTCGAGAAAAAATATTTGTATAAATTCCTATTTCTATCCGATCTACTTTGGGATAGTTTACAAATGTTCGCCATGAAATTTACATTTTCTCTAATAGACGAAGATCTTATTTAGGAGAACGGCATGGCAGTGAATCATCATGGTAAAACAATTGTATTATTGACATAACGAGTATAATCGACGTAGTTTTTTTATTTGTTGCAAGTCGAACGCATCCTTATGTGACATTTTATACTTATGTTCTTCTAGAACATTCTATTGCGAACACATTGGTACAAAAATGAAATACGTACATCGAAAAATAATGTCAGGACAGTGAATTGAATATAAACTTTTCAATGCCGGTTTCGCCGATATGCCGCCGCGGGTAACACTTCGGCCACTTCCCACACTCTTGTGGGTGGATTGCAACATTGATTCTATATTTATATGCATATGTCCGTGTAGAGAATTTTATTGCGATTTCAGTGATACCAAAATTAACCCTGTAGGACAAGTGTGGAGTTGACAACCCTGAAGATAGTAGAAACATTTCGTTGCTGTCTGGCGCTCACAGCTAGTGATTGACGAAGTTTTTTATTTGGTGCTGATCTAACTTATGTTTTGGTGACATTTTATACTTATGTTCTTCTAGAACATTCTATTGTGAACACATTGGTACAAAAATGTAATACGTACATTGAAAATTAACGTCAGGACAGTGACATGAGTATACACTTTTAAATGTTGCCGCTCGATCACCCGAAACGCCGAGCGCACAAGGGGAAAGTTTTTTTCCATTTGCTGGAGCGCGAGTGTTAATTAATATAAACAGAGTCCAGTGGCCTATGTTTCCAAATAGCAAGAAGTAAAATAAATTTTATGATTATATGTAAGTAATATGTAAGTTTTGAGTCAGTATGATAAATCATCCACAAGTTACTGTACAGACTTGAAGGAAAGAAGAACAAAATAAATATGATAAAATCATATAGTATTCCAAATGAGGATTAAAAACTAGGAAATTAGTTAGGTACCTTGCCGTATGGGTGCCGGTCGGCCGAGCCGTACCTTAGGTATGGGTGCCGGTCGGCCGAGCGGTACCTTAGGTATGGGTGCCGGTCGGCCGAGCGGACAGCACGCTGGACTTGTGATCTTGTGGTCCTGGGTTTGATCCCAGGTGCTGGCAAGAAACAATGGGCAGAGTTTCTTTCACCCTATGCCCCTGTTACCTAGCAGTAAAATAGGTACCTGGGTGTTAGTCAGCTGTCACGGACTGCTTCCTGGGGGTGGAGGCCTGGTCGAGGACCGGGCCGCGGTGACACTAAAAAGCCCCAAAAATCATCTCAAGATAATCTCAAGATAAGATAACCTTTGGGTATTACCAACAAATTTAATTCCATCTTTAATTTTAGCAGAGGGACATGCTGAATTAACTTACTGATTATTTTTCAGATCAAAAATGAAGAAGACATGCTGCACCAAGGTGTCATTGGGTCGAAAATTCTGCAACTGACACTTATCCGGCCGGTTTTCTGTGTAGGGATTGGCCGTTTTCTCCAGGATGAATCCAAACTGTAAACACAAATAAAAGAAAATGTGAACGAATATTGACTAATTATAATGCAATAATAATTATTGCAATGCATTTTAGCATTGCAATAGTGCAAAACTTGGCTTAGCAAAGAAGAAAATTAGGGTATATGTAACTTATTTTTCCATTCTCTATATACAGTAGTATGCTTTATTTGGGAGAGGAGTAACTCTGCTCAACACATTGGCTCAGTGTTAAGAGTTAAGAGTGTTAACTTAAGTGTTAAATTAAGAGCATTGCTGGATTCTGCTCCCACTGCATTAGGCAAAATTTTGCATCTAAGTGTCTAGAAAAAATCTTTTCACCCCAAATCCCTATGTTTGCCCAAATTCCCAGGATGTCAAAACAGTAGTTTGGGATCACTAGCTGTGACAGTACTGTACAGTATGTCAGCAACAGAACACATGACCGCAAACATTAAAAATAAATAAATAAACAGTGTTGAATGAAATGAAATGGCAATTTTTTACGAGCCCCGGAGGCTCCCTGAAGCCATCATATACTGATCAATGCCCTACTACTAGGTGTCATCAGTCGCTAAGTTCTAGTTGCCCACCGGGGACCGTGAGCCAGAACCTGGCCCACCTCAGAGGTGCAGGGAGCGATGGCCTACAAACACTTTACATTTAAAGTTACAGTGTGTCCTCGCTTGAACAAACTACAGTGGAACCTTATTTGATGATTGCCCCTCTTTACAAATTCTTTGGTATACAAGGTCAATTTCCTCGTAAATTTTGACTCGGTATTCGAGGTTTACCTCGGTTGTCAAGTTTGTTGATACATGTATGGGGTCGACAAGTGCGTGGTTCTGTTCTGCTGGCCACAGGGCAGGCTGCAGGGTGAGGCACTCTCAGTTTACCAGTTTATCCCACCTAGTGACAAGCGCACTTTAAAACTGTACAGTACAACCTCGATTCAACTTGCCCCAATTCAACAAATCTCCGGCTAGTTCACACCCTTTTTTGGCCGGATTTACTCACCCGGTTTGACGAACAATGGTTCGCCAAAGTGGGGGATGTTCAGATTTGCTAACTATGTCAAGACAGAGTTCACAGACTGGTGGAAAACTTTCCCATTCTATCACAGATTACAATTAATAATTCCCTCATATAACAAGTTCGATCACACAAGTGGACCGCACAAGTGGTCCACAAGCTTACAATGTTGGGACAGTACACAGAGTGGTGGAAATTTTTCCCATTCCATCACAGGTTACAAATAATAATTCCTTAATATGACAAGATGGATCACACAAGTGGCCCACACAAGTGAACCATATTAACCAAACACCAGCCAAAGTGGTCCACACAAGTGAACAACTGAGTTTCCATGATTTTCGTTCACTGATTTGTGACACACGTATCTTTGTAAATTAATTTAAAGGCTGAAGCGTGATTAGCTAGCTACATGTGGTAAAATCTCCATATAGACATTTTCTGTGATGAAACAAGATTAGTGAAGGTGGACAGATAAGGGAATACTGTACTGTACTGTAAACCTCACTTGGTTTTCCTTCGTCTGTGTCGTCATAGTCCTCACTCGTCACTCATGACTTTGAAAGTTTCAGATTAATAAATCATTTCTAAAACCAGTGTTTGAATACCATTTTATTATCTTAATTAAACTAAACTAAACTAAATAAAACCGAAAATATACTGTAATATGATAGACATCTGCTATTTGAGAAATTATTTATGTTATTGGAACAACAACTCCAGTGCGAGGGGACGGGTCTAGTCCTTGTACACACAGCGCACAGTACCTTGCGCACAGTTCCTAATACATTTTATTTGTTTTTACATGCTAATCCTATGTATAATGAACACGTACACTATATTATGGCAGTAAAACATCCGTACTGTCCAAGGACACTGTGTTACGTGCATGACACTTGTGTACACATATGTTGCACACATATTTACCATGTATCATGCTAATTTATCTATACAGTACTGTATATACAATCTATTTATTTCACTGTCACACACTAAATACATTCACCATCAACACATTCAGAACACCGCGAGTGTGAGCAGCCACACCCAGCCAGCCCTCTCTCACTCTAACATCTTACTCGCCAACATTGCTCCTCCCACCATACTGTTATTGTATTTATTACACTATTTACACATGTTATATAGACCTATCTACATGTTTTATTTACCAGAACTATGCAAGTAAGCCAGTATTGTGTCCAAACAGTACAGTGGCCACCATACACTGCATGACAAATCACACAGCAGACGACGCCACGATTACGACGTCACCTCCCTCACCAAAATAGCTCCTCACAACATACTCCTGGTGCTGTTATTACACTATTCACACACACTGTATATACCCATGTACATGTGTGTTCCCCATAGTGAACTACGAAGCTAGTATGGTGAGCAAAACAAGAGTTACTGCCACACAGTGAGGCTACCTCAATTCTCTCCCTTCCTCCCTCCCTCACCAAAATTCCTCCTTCCTACGCACAACGCTAATTATAACCACAATCCTGGTCACTAATACCTGTAAATGAATAATTGACCACAAGTTTACTTTGAAAAGGAACCTACAAAGTCGTTTGAAGATTCCTAGATGGACGAAATAATGCTGTGGTGCTGTTGCTAGTGCTGTGAACATCGTGAACAGCATTGAATCACTGATATTTGAACATTGTACCCAGTCATTATCACACTCGGGCTCTTCTATAATACTATCATGACTAAATAAAACAGATTATATATATATTTTGACAATATTAGGCGATGCTGTGGTCACACGCTGAACAGCAGTGCTGTGCGTTCATGCTGCGAGCACCAGCCTTGGTTGCTCACTCACTACTGAGGCTCTCACACCAGGGAATGTGGACCATGATTTTTTTTTAAGATGGCGTCTGTTTACAAGAGCCCTGAGGAAGCTGACGTGAACCCCATGTAGCCGCTGGAGTTTTGAATGGAACGTGAAAAATAAAAACACCCGGAGGCGCGTTGCGTACCCGAAGCCTGGGCCTGCAGGTGTGTTGCGCAGTTAAAGGGTTAATGGCAGAACTAATTAATATAATCGTATGTTACATTGACGACCCCAGAGAGTTTCGACGATACCCAGCCACGACTGACTACAACATGGATTCTCACTGGACCTTCACTCCTGCTGTTGCTTGCTGTGGACCGCTGCCACCTGTCACGGAACGCTGCCAACACCCTCGCCACAGCTATGATTTTCACCGCAATCGTCTCGGCATTTTCATCAACTACAGCTTGCTGCACCGCGAGCGTTACTTACTCATCTGACAGTTTCATCAGCAACTACATCATGTGGGATCTACAGTCTGTCCTGCCACCTCTTCGTCGCTGCCAGGGCACTGCTTGTTCTACAGGGACTCCCACGACAGCTGCTCTTTCATCAGATTCATCTACACGTTCACTGCATTCTGATACTCTGCCGACTCAAGCACAGTGCGCAGTACAGGACTTACAGCTTGCATTTCCGACTCTGCGTCGCCTCCAGGACAATTCAGCTCTAGCAGTGATTCCCTCGTTGTCCTAACTACGTGCCTACATTACCTCCTATTGTCCTGGTGGCCGCGCCCATCCGCCCCGGATCTAAATGCTCCACCAGCGACCCAAGGATGCAACAATCATGCACATTCTTCTCTCCTGCTACACCGAGCTTGTCCACACACTGTCTGCATCTTTTGATACCGGACTACATGTTCCACAGTGACCCAGGGAACAGTAGCCTCTTATTTTTTGTTATATTACTTTTCTTCCATTCCCTGGCAGGGGAGCCCTGTAACGAGTAAACTTATACTCGCTCCATTATCTCATCATCTTAATGGCATAACTAATTAACATAGTCGTACGTTACAGTTACAACATGTATTGGGTGAAATCAGGCAAGAAACTACCAATTTGTGATTTTAGTCATGCTTTCTTGTCACAATTACTCGTCAAGTACTGCCAGGAAGACAGTGTTATAACGGTTGTTCATGGGCCAACAATGCCACAACTGTATAACTCCCAATAAACTGCCTGCTAAAGACCAATTTGCACTCCACAAGATTGGAGTGCAAACTACATACAGCAACACAAACTAAAGCAAAGGGTATAAACAAGTGCATTGTTTGCTAGCACACGGAACAAAGAAGTGCACCTATGAGGGGCCCAGGTTCTGGCTCTTGGTCCCTGGTAGGTCATAGAACTTCATGACTGATGAGACCTACTAGTATGACACACTATCTGAGACAGTAGTTTCAGGGAGCCACAAGGGGCTCTCCCCAGAAAATTATGAATATATGGTACATATAATATACCTTTTTAAGTACGTACAGTACTGCATCTAACTTTTTGTCCCTATTTTGGCTCTCATTTATCCTCCAAACTGATGCCTCTTCACTCCATGAAATTGAGAAATTTAGTATCCATGGGATTATGATTATGATTTACCTCTTTATCAGCATCCTTTGGTGTGATCTTGAACTTGGTCACCTCAACATCCAGGTATCCATCGCGGAAGAAACCAAAGGTACTAATAGGGAAATATCGCCTGTCATCATTCTGCAAAAAAATACATCTGTTAAATGCTACTCTTAATACTGCATATTAATAGAAATCAATTTATCCTTTATCAACAAATGTGTTTAAAATTACAATTTATTTATTTGTTTTATCTGTAACAAGTGTGCCATATGCAAAGTATTCTTACTTAACTTACATGAAACTTTAGGGGTGCCATCGCCTTAATACCCTCTTCTTGCAGTCAAGTCACACTTACACCCAAAACACACTGTCAGATACCAAGGCCACTCTTAGTTCAAACTAGATATAGACAAGATGAATAATTTACTGTGTTTTTCCAATTTTTTGAATTTCAGAAAATTCAATGGCCAGAGAGCAATCACATAGAGAAATACAGAATGAAGACACTAAGTAGCACCTAATAATGTCAATGGCACATTAAACCTTATCCGGATTATAATAGGACAAAAGCCTATGCCTGGATAATTTCAAATATGACAGTAATGTCTTCTAAAAAGGGCGATCCCCGAACAATCCAGGAGAGATAACCCTGGCAGTGCAACGGTAGCACTAAAGGAGAACCCAGGGGGGAGTCTCCTGAGCACATGCAGCCTCAAGCTCTCTTAACTCCTGGCTCACACTGCACAAGAACAGCCACTAAGGTAAAATCCCACCAAACAGGATACTGAAGTCAGAGCAACACAGAAGGCACCACACACTTCACTGGGAGACTTCAACTTGAAAGCAATAGACTGGGAGGCATGCAAAGCAAGAACGGAGGACATTTGGACAGGCAGATTTGTAAACCTCATTCTGGAGACATTCATGTATCAACACATCAAAATGTCAGCACTGTGGAGAAATGCCCGACAGACCACTAGAACATTATCTAACACAGTGCACAGTTACACACCCATTAAGATTTCAACTTGGATTCAACAGAGCAGAAGAAGTTGTTAAACACATATGGCAAAATCTTACTGAAGTGACCATACGAGTCATAAATACTCATACTCCGCCCAAGTAAAACAGAAACAAGCAACACTTAGTGGGCCAGCCAGAGGCTTAGGGCCCGCGCAGAAATATCCCTGCAAAAAAAAAAAAAAAAAAAAAAAAAAAAAAAAAAAAAAAAAAAAAAAAAAAAAAAAAAAAAAAAAAAAAAAAAAAAACAGCGTTGAATGTAATGAAACGCCATTTTCTGGGTGAGACCCGGAGGCTCCCCGGAGCTTTACCGGCTGATATGCTAATGTCAGACTTTGGCATCAGTCATGTGTATGGAGTTCTAGGGCCTACCGGGGACCACGAGCCAGAACCTGGCCCCCTCAGAGAGGCAAGGGGAGCAATGGCCTATAGAAACCCCCGTGTGGTTGGAAGCATTCTATGTCTGCCATCGACCGGGTCAAGCATTCAGAAAGGTAAGCATTCCAAAACAAACCCCTATTCTGGTGAAAATTGCTACCTAAGCCGAACTAGTGAATAGAACTCTTCAACAGAAAACAAGGAAACTAGTATGACGTCATACGTCACCGCGCCGCTGTCTGCGCAGCTCCCCCCTCCCCGGGAGGGGAAGGGGGAGCCCCAGACCTCCCACGCCGGCTATCCACCCATCAGTTCTGAGGCTGGATGTCAAAACACGCGAAAAACGCCGACCGGAGGGAGGGAGGGTTGCCGGGGAGCCTCCGGGTCTCACCCAGAAAATGGCGTTTCATTACATTCAACGCTGGTTTTCTGGGGGGAGCCCCGTCGGCTCCCCGGAGCTAACTACCCACAGAGGAAGGTCAAAGGGACAAAACCGGGAGGCGGACACCACGCACCCCCCAAGGAGGCGAGACAACCGGCAGCAAACGCCAACCCAAGGCGCCACAGCCCCGAAAATCCCGGGAACAACACGAGAACCACGAGCAGCAAGGCCCCTGCACGAACACCAAAAATCCATGCCCGAAAGACTGCAAGGCCACGTCGCCCAAACGGCAGCGAGAGCAGCGAAGCCACGAACGCCACAGGCATGAGGGAAGAACACAGGCAGCTTAGCCGCAAGAACACGGCTGTCCACCCGGGACACCATCACCCGCGAACCGGGAAGAACAGAACCGGATCAACGCAAAACGCGCTCCGGACCCAAACGCCGTGGCACGCAAACAACAGCGGAGGGCCGCCACTGAACACAAAAACGACACACCCCCGGCCCGACCAACCAAGCACCAACAAACCCTGCACCCCTCCAGAATGCAGCAGCCCCACCCCGCGCCAGAAAAGATGGAGACTGCTGCCATCAAACAACCAAAACGCTAAAACCGAAGGAGCAAGAAAACTCAGCGAACCGACCCCCAGAGGCAAAGGCCCAAAGGAAAGAGCCGACGAAAAAACACACCGGAACCGAAGGGGCACTACCAACCGAGGAGAAGACAGAGCACGCTGACCAGAGACCAGGATGGTGCAAGCGGCGCACGAACAGGCCGGAGGTGAAATGACGCACAAGACAGCTGACTAACGGTGCAGAAGCAACACCAAGACCGAAAGTAAGCTGAAGCGGCTCCGCCTGCGCCGCACGAAAAGAGGCGACAGTATGTGGCAAGACGACGGCCCCCAACCCCCACTAGAAAACCAAGCCGAGAGTAAACCAAGCTAACAAGAGGAACCACCTAAGAAGGGACAGGAAAAGGAAGGACCGCCAAAATACCCCATACTGCCGCCAAGAGAAGCACGCAGGTGGGACACCTACCACGAAGCCACCCGACCACCAACCGGAGGCGAGACCACGAGGCAGAACATAAGCAGCCCCGACAAGGCCCCCCCGAGCCCAGGAAAAAGGCAGAGCCGCGAGAAGATCTCGGGCGCGACCACCGAAACCCAGGCGGCACAAGGAGATGGAACGTCTGCCGAACAGAAAAACTCCCCGAAGCATGCAAGCCCGCCAGGAGTTCAGAAACGACGGGTCCGACGCGAGACATCGCAAGAAACCCCCCCCCCCCAAAAAAAAAAAAAAAAAACAACCGGCAGGGCAAGCTAGGAAAACCAAAGAAGGCGGAAGGGTCGCCGCCAGAACAGGACCCGAACCAAGGGGCACGAACAACTGCAACAGACCGAGACAAAGAAGCACATCACAGGACACAGGCTGACCAACGCCTAAGAACACTCGCAGAACATCCCTGCTGCAGAGGAGGCAGGAAGAAAGAGCAGAAGCACAAAAAGCAAAAAAAAAAAAAAAAAAAAAAAAAAAAAAAAAAAAAAAAAAAAAAAAAAAAAAAAAAAAAAAAAAAAAAAAAACAGGAGAACAACCAGGGGTGGACAATCAGGCAGGGACAAAAACCCCACGCAATCCCCAGGCACAAAACGGCAGCAAAGTGCCACTCCACAACCGGACACAGGAACAAGGACACGCCACCGTCAAACACGGTACCAATGCACACGTGCAGCAGCAGCAACAGGCACCACTGCAACATGCAACATGTAAATAGCAACTCCCCTCTGCAAAGGCAGAGAACGGAGCAGGCAGACCCCAGACAGGGCCAATGGAGACACGACAAAACCCTGCAGGCCCAGAAACCTGCACCAGGCGACCGACGGCGGAGAAACCCCGCTCGATACCTGACACTGCAACATGCAACATGTAAATAGCAACTCCCCTCTGCAAAGGCAGAGAACGGAGCAGGCAGACCCCAGACAGGGCCAACGGAGACACGACAAAACCCTGCAGGCCCAGAAACCTGCACCAGGCGACCGACGGCGGAGAAACCCCGCTCGATACCTGACACTGCAACATGCAACATGTAAATAGCAACTCCCCTCTGCAAAGGCAGAGAACGGAGCAGGCAGACCCCAGACAGGGCCAACGGAGACACGACAAAACCCTGCAGGCCCAGAAACCTGCACCAGGCGACCGACGGCGGAGAAACCCCGCTCGATACCTGCTGGATGAGGTACTGGGAGCTCTTTTACACCTCAAGCCCGGCCCAAGGTCAGGCCAGACCGGCCAGAGGATGGCCCACCAGGCAGCTGCTAGGAGCAGTCCACCGGCCCACATACCCCCACAACCAGGACGGGCCGGAACTGCCATACGAAAACAGGCCAGTGCGCCCTGGAAGTCCACGGACGAACCAGCAAGAAGGCTTATGCTCGCAAGTAGGTCGTGTAACAAGCACAGACCACTGATGGTAATACAGTGTTCCCCAAAAGTGCCAATAGCACCACTGCACTCCACTGGTACTATCCCGCAAGTTCTACCAGATAGGCGGGACCCAAGAGTCAGAGCTCAAATCCTGCAAGCACAGCCAGGAGCCTCACCAGGTGAGTACAGAACCAACCCTACAACCCCCACACCTCACAACATTAAAAAAGGAGGGTCCCCTGAATGACTCCAGCATGGGTTGGACATGCACATGAGGGGGACAGGAAGGGGTGATAAAGGGACAGTCACTGGTGTGCGAACGGTCTCAGTCGTACAAAAATATACCTAAATAAAGACAGATATATAAACACCGCCGCATCCAGCGCCCGGCCAAAAGACTCCAGACCGCAGAAACTCACCTGGCGAATGGTGGCTCGAACTTGACACGACTCAACCGTGCCCAGAAGAACTTGGGAGCACCGCCAGGTGAAGACGCCAGAGCCGGACCCTGCCGGACCCGCAGGAGAACAGGGAGAGGCGAAGGAGGCGGTCCACACCCATGACACAGGGAAAACCGCGGTGTCCTCCCCACAACTGGGAACCAGGACACCCCCGGCGCGAAGGGGCACATACCGCAGCCAGGGAGAAGAACGAGAGGCGAAGCACTGTAGCAAAAAAGGGCGCAAAACCCCAGCACTGAACCACCGCCCAGACCAAAACAAACTCCACGGCGCATGCGCATAACACGCTGGCCGAACCGCACACCCTCCCTGCGGGAAGGCGCCAGCCAGGACTATTGCACGAGAAAAGGAGCCAAAAGAGGAAGCAGGAACAATAAAACCGGCCAAAGAAGCAAAGAGCCCCAAAAAAAAGGAACCCAAACGGGCGACAAGTAGCCCAACCGGGCGACAAGTAGCCCAACCGGGCGACA